GTGCAGCTCTGCCTTGCCATTCGGTTTTGACGGACAGGAAGTCGACACCTTTGGCGCTCTGTTGACGTCCAGGTTTATTTTCCTGGTGATTCTCCAGCTGACTGAAAATGTGACGCAGTGTCACCAGGAATTGGGTTCATTTGCAGCTGTAAATGTGTAGTTAAGTGGATTCTGAGCTCATGTCCCTAATTCTGTGTGCAGCTTTTCTGTTTAACATTGTAACCTGTGGTATTTTTTATCATTAATGAAATCTGTATTGATCAAAGTTTCACTGGTTCATTTGATCAGGAGAAATGTGTATAGCCCTAAGGGCAACAAATGCATTTATTAATCATTTCTGTTGTTGCGATTCTTTGGATTGTCCTGGTAAGTGTAAGGACAGACAATGCTGGCTTTCCTGCTACTCCTCATTCCGAAAGCTCTGCAATGATGATACTCTTCTGAGAAAATGTCCTTTGTGAAAAAGCTTACGCTTCATTTTTCCTGTTAGCCAAGGAACTATGCGAGCTGGCGTAACTGTCAGTGGTGTGATTTTTGTTTAACATAATCGTTGTAGCATAGGGCCGGTCTGTGAGCCCTGTCTCCATGAACGACACGGTCACGGTCCATATCACAGGTGCAGAAAGTCCACCACACCTCATCTGATGGGACGAAGTGGCACAGCTGAACACCCCAAGAACATCTGGTCCAATCGCATGGTTCCTGTCTTGCAGATGTGATTGTCTTACCTTCTGGAGCATCTCGGTGATGAATGGTCTTGGGTTCTGCTGAGGAGCAGGAGGAGAACGGTACCACCCAGACACAGACCAGCACCACCTCCATCGCCTACCACAGCTCCCCCCCGAGACAACCCTGGAAGACACAACCTGAAGGAGACCCTCTGGTCCAGCCTGACCCTCTTCGCTTCCCTCCTGGCCTCCTTCCCCGCCTGGTCAGGGATGGTGAGGGACATGTCCACTGGAGGCTGCCCTGCTCCCATGCTCGTTTCTCCTCCCATCCTGCTCCACACGATGCTCTTCTCACCATGATCGCCCTACCTACCCAGTCTAAGGACACCTGCTAATTCGTCCGGTAGGTTGGGCAACCCTTCGAGCGATGCCGTATCAGACTTAACTAGTAAAATCCCAGAGCATGCATGCTTGTCTTTCCTTTTCTGCTGGCCGATTGAGGCTTAAACGCTTTTATTGACGCTGAAATTCAGCAGCGCTAAACATTGATTCACCTGATGTGTAGGTGGGCTGTAATATGACTCGGTGGACGGGGCATCGGGTCATAAACAAGGCCAGAAAACATTTGTAATCATAATAATCTGCTGTAATTTATAATGAATGCCTTTGCCTCTGCTACTATGGTGACGTTATTAGTAAATTATTATAATTATTAAAGAATGTGGGGACGCAGTTGGGATTGGCTTCAAAAGAATAAGGATATGAAATGGGCAATTATTAAAAAGGCGTTTTTCCTTCCGGAATATCCATTGGTTAATTGCTGGTTTGAGTACGTTTGGATGTTTTCTGTGTGCTAAGGTACAACCAGCACCATGAGCTCATCAGGAATATCGTGACAACGGACATATTTCTCCCAAGCTAAAGAGTTTGACTGTCCTAGTTAAAGTCTGATTTAAACATACAGCTATCATGTTTGATTGCATCGCAGGAATGCGCTTTGCTAAAGACTTTGCATGCCCTTCACCCAAACGCAGGTTAAATGTGCTTTCTTAATCCTGACCATTTGTACTGGGAATCCTGCCGGGAATGGGAGAAGTACTGGGACGTCCATTTTCGAAGAGGAATCTTCCGGAACGGGGAGCTCAGGCCGCAGGTTTCGGAGAGCTTGCGTCGACACGGCGGTTTGATGTTGCCGCAGCCAATTGTTGGGGGTCGGCTGTGGAAGCATGTTTCTAATTGCGACGGCATTCCTCGTGCACTCGTGCCGGTCTGGTGTCTCGTGTAGAGTGAGCCTGACAGCTTCTGCAACCCAGTAGTATAACATTGACCGGAATAAGAAGCACTTTCCATATGCGCATCCCGTTCCCGCCGGTTGCGGCTGCTCTGCTCGCATCCCGTTCCCGCCGGTTGCGGCTGCTCTGCTCGCATCCCGTTCCCGCCGGTTGCGGCTGCTCTGCTCGCATCCCGTTTCCGCCGGTTGGGGCTGCTCTGCTCGCATCCCGTTTCCGCCGGTTGGGGCTGCTCTGCTCGCATCCCGTTTCNGCTCTGCTCGCATCCCGTTTCCGCCGGTTGGGGCTGCTCTGCTCGCATCCCGTTTCCGCCGGTTGGGGCTGCTCTGCTCGCATCCCGTTTCCGCCCGTTGCTCTGCTCGTGTGTGAAAGCACCGGCCCCGGTGGGAGGGGCACCGTCACACTGGCTCCTGTGTTTTGCATCATGGGGGGCATTTTCCGCTTGTTGACTGAGAACATAGGTGTCGCTCAGTAATCTGCCAGAGTTTTGCATGTTGGTCTGAGAGGAACAATGGAGGCGAGCATTTGGGGGGGGGCAAGATGGCTGTTGAGATGGGGGCATCACAGGGTCATGATAGGGGCACAGACGTGTGGTCATAAAAATCAAATGTATCATCATTATTATTGGTACTATATATGTTGATTATATTTTAACTGACTAGCTGACTAGCTGTTCTTTATAAAGCTTGCACCATCCCCAGAATCCTGGTTCCTTTACTCTACATTAAATTATTTATAAAAAGAGCTTTGAAATGTCACCCAGCCACAAAAAACATCCATGGTGTGATACGAAGGACTGCTTGGGCTCCGGGTTCCGATGAAATCTGCACCAGTGCTCATAACTGGAACCGAATATCACTGAAAAAAAGTGCCAGTCACTCTTCATAAGAGGAATATTGCAGAAACATTAGTACAAACAATGAAATTACTTGGAATTTTGCAAAAATCTGAGCTGTGTGTGCTGACAGACTGCAGTTGTGCTGCCCTATGTGTGCGTTCTGCATGTGGCTCGTGGCCACGTGCTGAACTCCGGCGAGGCTTTGCGGGAGCCGTGCCGGGGTTCTACCTGAAGGTTACCGTGGTGATTAAATTCGTGTGCCCAGTGTGACATCAATAACAGGCCATGCCTTCGGTAGTTTGACTGGTGTGGTTATGCTGTACGCCAGTGTGCTTGTTTATGTAAATCCACATTCAAATGTGCCTCTGGAAAGGCCTGTAAGGGGTGCCAGTGGTTTTTGAGAGCGCCATCTTCCTGTTTTGGGTCACATGGTTCGCTGTTTGTGTGGCATGTGTGCGTGTGTGTCTGTGTATGTGTTTTTGTAATTATCACATTGTGGATACCAGATTTCGCCACAATGTGATAAAAACCTGTAACCTTTTACCTTTTGGGGACATTTTTTTGGCCTATAAAGATAACCTCAGTTTTATAAAAACCTGTGACTGCAATAAAAAAACTTTTGGTTAAGGTTAGGGCTGGGCAGGGATTAAGGTCGTCATTGTTGGGGTTAGGGTTTTATCCATAGAAATGAATGAATGGTCCCCACTAACATATAATTACAGACCTGTGTGTGTGTGTGTGTGTGTGTGTGTGTGAGAGAGAGAGGCTGGTGTAGGTACACAAAAACTCACATAAGCGCACAGGATAGTGAATTCTGTCTTCCTCCCTCCCTCCTATCCTCTCTTTACTCTTTCTCTCTCTCGCCTCCCTCCTCCTCTCTGTTTTTCCCTTCACTTCTGTGCTCAGGGAAGTGGAGGTGTGAATTTGTTTCTAATTTCTAATGCAACATGGAGTGTGTGTGTGTGTGTGTGTGTGCGGTTTCCCATGAAGTTTGTCCTGTGAGGTCACGTGTGTCTGAGGTCCAGTGAGTCATATTCCCGGGATCCGTCTCCTTATCTGTGCTGCAGAATCTCAGAGACATACGATAGTGAAGCATGCTTGTGAAAGGGGGCCTGTCACATGACTCCACCTCACCCCAGGACACCCCCGACCCTCAGTAGTGCCTAATATAAATGGACGAGCCAGTTGTGCTACCGTGCCCAGCAGGGGGAGCCCTCTATAACAGCCCATGTATCTTCTGATAACAGGAGACTCACTGTAGGGTGGTGGCTGTTGTAGACGGGGTAGAGAGGTAGATGGAGGGATTAGGTGAAGGGGATCCTCCAGGCCGGCTTTAATCGCCAATGTTTGAAGGCCTGGTCACACACATTTAGCTGCCTTTCAAACACACATTTCTTGTGGGTCAAACAGCACTTATCCTATAAATCACCCACATAAATGTGTTGTGCTATCAGCAGCATGCCAGGCTTACAGAGGCTTGAGTATTTTTCACTCTGCATTTTAGCATTGCAGGATTTCTATGGGCGGCTTCTCCGTCTGCAGAGGCAAAGGAATGTAAAAGAATACAGTGAGACCCCCATATCAGCGGCTTCAGTGAGACCCCCGCATCAGCGGCTTCACTGACCCCGGTATTAGTCGTCCGCAGTTTACCGCAATCCAAAAAATTGTTTAAGTATTCCAGAAATAGTTCATAAGTTTCAAACTGCGTGCCAAGCGAGTTCCCACAATATGCAATGATGTTTTGAAATAAATATTTCTCTTCACAGGTAATGTACAGGTGCATGATACAATATTTTTCATTATAAAATGTGTAACAGTAGCCTGGTTTTTCACATGTTGGTAATGTCTTAATGTGCAAAATTTAGCAGTTAAACTTTACCATATGTATGTACTGGAAAATCACATTATATGAGGGATCCGCAGGTGATTCGCTGTTATCCGTGATGTCATCTATCCGCCGTAGGATATCCATGGATACAGCATTGTACAGCCATTATTTTTATCAGTTTAGCTTTACTTACTACTTAGTATTCAGCTCCTTTAACTGGTTTTCGGTTATTAAAACCAGACTTACATACCATCCCAGCGATATTAGACTAAAATGTATCGTTATTGGCACTGGCGATATTAGATATATGTTTAAATATATCGGTTATCGTATCGGTCAAAATCTCCATATTGGTGCCTCACAAGCCGCTTAGCATCTGCTAAATCTTTAGTGTCTCTTAAATACGTATATTTTATTGCAAAATGTATTGTATTGTTCCCAGTAGTACAACCTTGTAGCCTAGGATCAAGAATCTGGGGGGAGTTTGCAATGGAGAATGGAGTCCCACTGTGTTTCCAGATTGATAAAGGATGAGGATGAAGGGTCTGGGGCTTCCAGGGTCTGTAACGACCTGGTGACCAGTGGCTTGTACTATGAAGCGGGGTTACTGACTTATCGGGGTAACTTGTCGGATTTAAAGTACCACAGTTTAAAAGGACTTAATATTCGTTCACTTACATTTTGCCCAGACTACCTTAAGTCCGACAAGTTACCCCGATAAGCCAGTAACCCCGCTTCGTAGTACAGACCACAGGTATCCCAGGATCTGTCTAGGTTGGAGTTAGACTGTGAGTGGGTTCGAGTTAGGGTTAGACCGTCAGTGAGTTAGGGTTAGGCTTAGGGTTAGACCGTGAGTGGGTTAGGCTTAGGGTTAGACCGTGAGTGGGTTAGGCTTAGGGTTAGACCGTGAGTGGGTTAGGGTTAGGGCATAGTGCTGTTCCTCAGAGTCTCAGGAGGTGTAGGCTTGATTTGAGGATGTCCCCCTGGGATTCCCCTTCCTCATCACCCCCCCCCCCCCCACTTTGCCACAGGCCCAACGTCCTGACGGAGCTGAAATGCGAAAGCGGCAACAGCCACACGTGGAAGGAGCAGCCGAGCCACCCGGGGGCCCCAGGTCCAGCACGTGCTGCCTGTGCTGGTGCGGCTGCTGCAAATGCCCCTGGTATGTCCCCTGCCAGCAGATGGCGCCATTCCCCGCTGTGTGCTGTCATCACACCTTATTGCAGGCTTCTGAACAACTGTCCTTGACGCTGACAATCCAACTAGGAAGTCAGATTGCTCATGAGAAGACCTGACAAGTTCATTATGACCACTTTACAGAGTGGTCACGTGATCATTCGACCTGTATGCCACTGGGGTCCTTTTCTGCTGAAGCTGTCCACAGGTTGCCTGATGAAATTACTCACACATAACTAGAAGATTTCCCTCAGTGACAGGTAAACAAACTCCAAAGCTTATTTGACGTAAGCGGAGAAGTTTTGGATGCTGTGTCCTGTTCTCTTGTTTATATGTATCGTCTCTTGGGTACATGCAGATACCCTGCAAGCAGCTTGCCTGTTTGAGGTGCTCTGGGAGCTCCTGGAAATTAGCATTTGCTGCATAAAGTACATTTATCATGCTAATTTTACAACAGAATAGCCTGTATTGGTTAGCATAATTATTGCGTTACACTCTGCATTTACTTCATTAGGTCAAAGTGGTAAACGTCTTGATTTTCATGACAAATAAATGTAAAAGTTTTAGTTTTCAAGCGTGAAAATCTCTAATCCTTACATATTTGCAGCTCTGTAATTATAATCTCACTTCTGCGGATACCTGGATGTGCTGTGTCAGCAGTCTGCATTGTGACCAATTAAATTTCAGCTTGGTTGGGAGAGACACACAGTTAACTCTTGTTTTAATACCACTTCCTGCTTTTTATACTACCCATAATTCATCATTGCTGGCATGGTCACATGACACATTTGTTTTGAATTTAGTAAAATTGACTTTCAGTCACAGGTTATGTGAAACTTCAAACTGAACATGTGCCACGAGCTTCGTATGACCGCAGGGGTGCAGCAGTTAAGATGCTTAAGCCAAACTGCTTCATTTGATAACGTGTCATGTCATGCTTCAAGGAATAATGGTGCATTGTAGAGCAGAACCGTGGAGTGCTTCTGAAGGTCCCGTTAGCCCGAGGAAGTCCCCGCGACACGGGGAGAACATGCAGACTCCACACGGAGTGGAGACGGGGTTGGAGGTCGCCGCCCCAGAGGCGAGCCGTGTCAGTGCTGCCTGCGGTGGGGCACAGCGGCGCATGGCTGGTGCATGCAGGGAACCCGCCGGCGGCCCCATGCTGGCGCTATTTTTAGGAGCGGCACAAACACAAATGAGGCGGGAAATAATGAAAAGACTGAGGGAGGGGGGACAATCCGCCGTCTATGCTGCGGCGTCGCCAAGGCTACGCCCAATTACGGCCCTGCGGTATCCAGCCGGAGAATAACTATTTCCAGTCTCGAATCACATGCAGAACAGCTGTGAGGAACATGTCCCCCCCCCCAGCTAACAAATGCAATTATTCTGGGGCTGAACTTGACTTTGAGGGAGTTACAGGAGGCATGGGTTGTTTTTTGGGATGGGGTGGTGGTAAGTGTCACCCCTCTGTTGAGAAATGGATGTCCACTAGGGGGCAGAGTAGACTATCGATGGGATTGGTTGAATCAATAGTCTTTACGGGGATGTGCTGCAGTGTTTCCGGTCAGCCTGATTTGAAACGTTCAGAACATTTCAGTCACTCTTAGTGGCTCTGGGCTGAACGGCCTGAACCCTAACCCTAACCCTAATCCTAATCCTAATCCTAACCCTAACCCGGCAGCATGGCTGCCAGTCATCCTGATTTATGCTTATTATTTTTTTCTTTTCTTGGAAAATGAAAATCTTTGAAAATGTATCTTTCTTTGGTGTAGATCATACACTTACATGTATGTATGTAATAGAGCAAAAACATGCAAGATAATCTTATGACACAGTCTTACAGCAGATTCGTGTAGCCAGTCTCTGACTGCTGAACTGAGTTGGTATCTCCACATCAGGAATGAAGACAGGGTGGAGCGTACAGAGCGACAGACGTGCACGAAAATGGACAGCATTGAGGCTGCGGAAGACCGGTAAGTCATAGGGTCCGAGGCAGAAATGGGGGGGGGGTAGGTTGTTTTCCAGTCACTGTGTGATGCAGCATATGGGGCAAAACTATCGTTTCGTTTGAATGAGGTGTTGGTGAATTCTGGGAAAGGTGCAGCGTGGCTCGAGCGATCTGCGTATGTAAGTGACATCATGGCTGTCTGTGACACGCTGGATTTGTTTGACGTTCTTCCTCTGAAAGGAAAACAGGAAGCGTGGTGTATCAAAACAGGATGTCACCGTTACCCGGGGAAGCGGTTCACGTTATGTAACTTTTTTCTCAGGAAAGTCACTGGGGAGGGGGCTGCATGGCTGCCCGTTGCGTAAACAAGTGCATCCATTATCGAGGGCCCAGTTTTTCAGCTGTCTTTTCATTTAGATTTCCTGCCTTACCTTGTCCATGAGTACTCTCCTGCCCCCCCCCACACTCAGTCCCCCGCTGTCCCCATTCACCCGTTACAGCTGCAGGTTGTGGCAAACAGCTGTTCATTCTCACAGAAGTTCCTTACATCTAAAGGCTAGCTGCCTGTTGTCTTAAAGGGCCAGCAGCCTAATTAGGACAGCAGATGTCCCGTTACATGAACTCTTGGAATGTCTCGTTAGCTTTTAATTAGTTGATTGTAATTAGCGCCTGCTCTCCCTCATGTTGTGCTTCCCTTTGCCTGGTTTGTGAAGGAGGGCCACACTGGAGGAGGTGCTGTCCTGGTCCCGCAGTTTCGAGAGGATGATGCGTTCGGCGGAGGGCCGGGACGTTTTCCGAGAGTTTCTGCGCTCGGAATACAGCGAGGAGAACCTCCTGTTCTGGCTGGCCTGCGAGGAGCTGAAGAGTGAGATGGACCCCGGTGCCGTAGATGAGAAGGCCCGCATCATCTACGAGGACTATGTCTCCATACTCTCGCCAAAGGAGGTATGGCGGGTAGAGGCTATGAGCTACTGCTCGGGGTTTAGGACCACCCCAGAACGAGTCGTACTCCAAAGGAGTACCAGTGAAGCTCTTCTAGGCTAAAGAAGTATGCAGAAAATTTCTCCTTTTATCCCTTTTATCCCTTTTATCCGTGTGCATCAGCGATGCATCTCTACGCTCTGCTGGTCTGGATGATTCCCTTAATTATCAAACGGTAGGCAGGGAATTTCAACCTGCAGTATTTGTCCCACCAGACGTGCTTTAATTATTTAAAAAAATGAACAACAATAGTTATTATGAATGTTATAAAAGATTAACCTTTATTCCAGCCTTAATATCACAGATTTATTTAAGCCACAAAAATTAAAAAGTTTTGCTTTGAAAAAGGATTTAAAAGACGCATCAGCAGAATCTCTGAACCAGGTTTTTTAAAAGGAAATGACATTATATAATTTTGAGTTCCTAATCTCCATGGGAATATTAGCAATCCTTCAAGGTCTCATCATCTACACTTGACACCCAGTAAAATCTTGTAAAAAGCTTGGAGTTTTGGGTGAATACAGGAAAATCACCCCACACCGGGGACCTGGGGGACGTACAAGATTGCCGTGATGGAAATATCGGGGGGCCCAGGACCCCAGGGCTGTTGGGCAGGAGCATCACTCCTGGGGGGGCATGATTGTTGGAGAGCTGTGTCATTCTTGTACTCATCTGCCTCTTGTTGATGACATATGTTAATGGCGATGTCTCCATAGCAATGTATCAAGCACAAGCCCAGTATCCCATAACCTTATCGACTGTTTGCCAGAATTCTGCCTAAATGCTAACGCCATTAATTCTGCTGGAGTAATCAGATTTATTTCATCACTGCAATGGAACTGCATCCGAAAATCCAAACGCCCTCATTACATCCCCTGGTGTAATTAAACGCGGTCATTACCTCCCAGGAAGTGGCCTCACAAATGTGATTTCGGTGCACTGTGGTCACACTAGCTTCCTGCACCCTGTGAGGGCGGTGAGTCACCATTGCTCACATGATACACAGTCCGGTAACATAGGTAGATATCTGCAGATCACTATGGGATATTTTGTATAGTGTGCCCTCTAGTGCTTAAGTGGGGTAATCGGAACGTCTCTTTTATATGAAACCTAGACTATTATCACCTAAAAGTTTTATCTGAACTAGACCATGTAAACATTACTAATTTGCTGAATATTTTATGTAAATTTGTGCTTCAGTGCTGCCTGCTTTATTAATTAGTTTACAAAGTATTTTTTGGGTAGTACTTAATAGTTTTTTATAGATGAACAGTCTATGTGTAAAGTCTGTGGTAGTGTATAAACATCATCGCTGAAGTTTTAGCGGGAACTAGAAACAGTCGCAGCCCTCTGGGAATGAGCATTGTGGCGCCCCCTGGTGTTTCTTTGCAGTTCAAGCAGCCTCTCATCCCTACAGGTCAGCCTGGACTCCCGGGTGCGGGAAGGCATTAACCAGAGCCTGGCAGAGCCCAGCAGCCACATGTACGCAGAGGCCCAGCTGCAGATCTACACGCTGATGCACCGCGACTCCTTCCCCCGATTCCTCAACTCGGCCGCTTACGGGGACCTTGTGAACAGTAAGAGGAGCACCTGCCTGGACACTTAAACCTGCTCAAAAAACGAAAGGAGTAATACGAGACGCAACTAAGGAAGCGTAGCGCCCTGAAAGAGAAGGTGTGGATGCCGTGGGTCTGACGCAGAGAGAATGACGAAGCGATCGAAGCGACTGCTCTTTCCCACGTCGACTCAGGCAGCTGCGAAGCGGCGAGTGTCAGAATGGCAGATATTGTACTGTATTTTCAAATCCCTCTCCTTTCCCCCTCTCTCTCTCTCTTCCCCTCTTTTCTCTCTCTCATGCCTCACATGTTTGAACTCAGCTTCAGAAAATGTTTCTTTGATGAGCTTGAGCTTGGTGAGTGAGAAGCTGACTGGCTCTCGGTCTCTGGCATCCCAAGTGTTTTTTTGTGTTTGGGTTTAACCCTGACAGACTCCTGACGTAAGTGATGGGAATGGAAGGTTTTTTGTCATCTTCTTATGGGCAGGGAGTGTTTTCTGAGGGCGTGGCCCCCTCTTTGTTTCGCTACCAAGCGATTCTCCTTCTTTCAATTTCTGAAACTTGGAAAAATAAGGGCTAAGTGTCTGGCAGCTAGGTGTGTCACAAAGAGAAAATACCAGAGAAACACTTGAGTGCATGTCAGCGAGGCCGAACA